CTCATTACTTTTAGTCACAATAATTAAATGATTAAGATCTATACTGGGGTACGCCTTTGAATTTATTTGTTTGTTATCTATAAGTCCGTTTGAAATCAAACTGGGAACTATCATCACCGATGAATCCATCCTAGGCGGTGTAAAAATTTAAGTGCCAAAATCATCTTCTTCATAAGCCAAAGCGATGTAACTATCGTGAAGCAATCTTCTTTTGTACTTTTCTTCAGTTCGCGAATATTTCTCCCACATAAATCCATTACCTAAATCTATTACTTCTCCTGCATAAATCCGCCATTATATATATCTCCAAAACTTCAAATATTTGCTATTTGAAAACGATTAGTTATGATAGATTACTAAAATCCAATCGATATTATCCAAATCAAAATGTTTATACATGCATTATTGAACTGGATTTATTATGAGCCCTATGAGATATACGCCGAAATTGCTTCATTTTTCTGACTAAGTTCTTTGACCTTAAATTCCAAACTTTCTTGATATGATTACGAAAATTTGGAACTCAAAATATGCTAACGAGGCTTATGAACCAACCATATATCGAACGTCATGTGTTTCACCGTATCCATAATAGTTCGGTATTGGCTCCTTAGGAGGTTTCCGGTAATTTTGTCTGATGGTATGATTGAGTGCCTCCAAACAGGTTGCTTCTATACGTAGCAATGGAATCTGTTACAGCTATCAATCACGAAAACGATCTACACCAGAAAGACAGTTTTCTCGCAGATGGATTTTTGAACTTGATATTGTAGAAGCCTTTGAAATGCGATGCCTAGCAGCTCACAGACAACCATGTCAGCTCCGCAACAAAGTTTTTTAAATAATTTTTCAAATAGTCAAAAAAAACATTTTGTTGAGGCACAAAAAAAAGGCATAAAAAGACATTCTTCATTTCGTACAAGCAATATAGACATTTGTCAAAAAAAAAAATTTGTTTTTCATATACCTTGGCATCAATTGACTCAGCTTTTATGGCGACCAATTCACCGGTATTAATATTTGTGCCAGAATATACCTGAACATGGGTATTTCCTAATTTAGTTTCATAACTCTTAAGTTAAACCCCAATTTGTTGAACCCGTCGCTGTGTGAAAGTATTGGTAGCAAGAGAATGCGAGTGTATCTGGAATATATTTTCTAATATACCAAACATAACAACTGATTAGTATCGGAAATGGAGTGACTTGATAACTGGCCTTGTGAGATGAATGGATTTGAGAGTTAACATCTGACTCTCAAATTCATTTCTAATTTCTTAAATTTATTCTGAATACTTTTCCTCCCCTCACTTCACTACCAAATCATTGAGTGAACTTTGGAAATTTCCAGTTGGAACAACTTTCTCTACCCGCGTTTAAAACTGAAAGAAAGTCTCGCTTACTATAAATGGTTACTGAAAGATTCTGAACCTGTCCAAAGCCACCAGCGCTTATCAATTGATTTATATTAAAATGTTTGTTGATTTGTGAGCCAGATAGAAACAACAGCCTTGTAGTACCACCGGATGCTATTGCCTCTTCATTTTTCTGCATTGCTTCACCTGTACACTTGTAACTTCCAAATGCTTACTAATTAAACTTCAAAGAATTTCCAAAAAACTATAATTAATGGGAAATATTGCATTGAAAGTGATCGAATGTAAGTTGGAAAAGGTAGAACGAAAGATTGATGAATTGTTCGTTCTTTCACTAACTTAATCAAATTCCGAAAAGCATGAACTGTAAAGTGCGGTACTGTCCGGTCGAGAAATAAACAAAATGGAGAAATGACGATTTAGATGCCGATTCCATAGTTTGTAAGAACTGTACCGAATATGAAATATGCAAAATATGCAAATCACCTATTTATATTAAGAACAAATTATCATGAGAATTTAAATCCTATAAAATTTTGCGTTTTCTAAAATTTTAGCTTTACATAACATGGCGCTGTTATTTAGGAAAAAGTTATGTGGCTAAAAATTGAGAACGGAGAACTTTAACCTCTCGAGATTAGGTTACTGTAGTGTGATAAAGTGCTTGGAAGATTTTTGAAATCTAATAACTGAACGAAACGAAACTTATCTAAATTTTACTAAATCCGTTTTGTCACAAAAATAAGATTTTTCGATAGTCTACTTTATCTCTCACTATCTGCATCGTCGAATAAATATGAAAAAAGTCGAAAAATATTTTGTAGTAAGTACAATCTATGATTCGATAAATGTGGTAAACTTCGAGTTTCAAGATTTGACAATTATCAAAACATGCCGACTTTTTTTTGGTATGAATTTTCGAAAATGAATCCTTGTGAGCATTAGTTGTTGCATTTGGTAGCACAAAGTGATTCTCATTTTTCATCGTATACAAAGCCAATCAAATGTTAGCAAACTATAAATTTATTAAATTTTTCCTTGAAAATATTTCTTAAGCTTTTTTTTGCGCCTGAATAATGCAGCAAACATTATGCATGAAAGATGCTTACGAGCAAACATCTTATCGAAAAGAGTTATCCATCACAACTTGAAATCCTCCTTCTCCCGCAGCAAAGTCCATTTTATTTTGGCATCTTTCCGAAGACGAAATATTTTCCACACATTCAACATTTCCATTCTTAATGATTTGCTTAACTAATTGTAAAAGCACAGATTAACACAGGTCAACTTCTGACCCTCAAAATCTAACTTTTTTGCACGATTGTTATATCTAAAGAATTTGAAATAGACTAACTTTTACTCATTAAATAGAATTAAAGTTACACAGTGAAATTTTTCAGGTGAACAGTCACGTGTGCTTTCTCAGGCTTAAAAATTAAAAAAAAATTTATATTTAATTTCATATTTAATTTCATTTTTTTATATTTAATTTCATTCTCAAATTTATTTCAGATTAATTTCGTGGTTTCTGAAATCAAAGAATTTAGTTAAATCCCAATTTTCATTATTCAAAAACCTGCTCTCGGGGGAGATTTTGTAACTTTATTTTTGTTGTTTTGACTCCGCAGCGTTGATATTAACCTTTATTGGTCTTATACGATATGGTACAAATATCGTACTGAAAGAATAATAGGAATGAAATGAACAATACACAATAAGTATGAAAGGATACCAAATGGTCTTTTGGCTCGTGCTGTTGCCGCTTCTCTGCCGCTGAATCGTTGTCATGGTTGGGTACCTGACTATGCTGTCTCCTTAAGTGCTTACACGAGCTGTCCAATTAAGT